TGATGCCAGATTATCGGGCGTGCCGGACTATTGGATGCCGGACTATTGGAGTTTTTCTGTACAACCCTACTCCCTAGACAGCCTTATGGGGAGGGGATTATTTCTGCTTCAGTGGTACGAAAAACTCCCCTTTCTTTAGAGCAGTGTTTCTTAAACTGTGTTCCGTGGCACACCGGTGTGCAGCGAGGCAGTCGGAGGTGTGCTGCGGAGAACAACAGAATTCAAAATGGCCACACTTAAAGGGGCAGGTGACCTTTTTTTTCTCAATAACTTCCCGCCAACCCTTTTTTTCCCTCAATAATTTTCCCTCCGATTTTTTTTTTTTTTTTGCTCAACAAAGTCCTTGGTGTTCTTTATAAAAAAAAATTATTGTTTGGTGTTCCTCAGTCTTAAAAAGTTTAAGAAACACTGCTTTAGAGGATTGGTTCTGGGCTCCCATGCATGGGATCTAACTGGCATTTCACTATAAAGCAGAGGCAGGGAACCTTAGGGGCTTACCTGGATCCAGCCCCTGAGGCTCAGGGCTCCCCTCCCAGCATTGGGAAGGCCACAGTGGACTCCAGCTTCAGTGCTGCCTCCCTCCAGGGTCTTAAAAAGTTTAAGAAACACTGCTTTAGAGGATTGGTTCTGGGCTCCCATGCATGGGATCTAACTGGCATTTCACTATAAAGCAGAGGCAGGGAACCTTAGGGGCTTACCTGGATCCAGCCCCTGAGGCTCAGGGCTCCCCTCCCAGCATTGGGAAGGCCACAGTGGACTCCAGCTTCAGTGCTGCCTCCCTCCAGGGCTGGAGCACAAAAAATCTACTAGCATGGTCCGCCCAGGCTCTGATGTGGGAGGGAAATGTGGGGAAGAGTCTTTTTCCTTCTCAGTTGAGGGCCACATCAGAGAGGGGTTTTTTTTGTTTGTTTTATGGGGTTTTTATTTTTTTGCTTCTCACTTGTGGGCAGCTCCTGACTGATTTTTTTGTGGGTCAGCGGCATCTGACCCCCAAAAAGGTTCCTCACCCTGGGTCTACAGGAACCCAATGGGCAACCCCCGAGTGAGCCTCAAAGCGTGGGAGAGGGGTGCTCAGAACTGTCCCCTCTCTCTGTAGGCAACGGGATCACGCTAGAGGGAGCCGTGTTGGCATCAGTCGCTGCGGGAAGGCAGGGTACGGAGCTCAGCAGACCGTTGCTCGGACCCATTCTGCCGTTCTTAGGGGACTGAGGCCCAGTGCCTAGCTCCTGCACAGACTGTGTGCAGCCTTGGGCAGGTAACTTCATGTCGCAGTGCTGCCCATCCCCGTCTGGAGGGCGGGGCTAAGCCCTGGCGTGGTGTTGGGGGAATAAATCCTCAGCGGTGCAAGGGAATAGGGGTCCGTCTCCAGATGGAGGTTCGTGCGCGTCTTTTTGTTCCTGGCGGAGGAGGGGGCAGACGTTGCTACCACCCCTGGGCAGGAGGCTGCTCCGAGACCCGCATGAGCCCCGGAACTCTGAGTTCCTCAAAACGGAGCGTTCTGCACCTGCGGGAAGGGACGCGCCACCTTTCGGGGAGCCCGCAGCTGGGGCGGGTGTGAAGTGCCAGCAATGGCCTGTCGCTCAGGCAGGACTCAGCTTTGCATTCCCCAGATTTCTGCACTTTTGCAACACCCCGGGGGGCAAATCCCATCCCTTGTGAGGCTTTGCAGGGGGTTCACAGCCTAATGTGGGGGGCATGAGAGCAGGAAGGACACGCCTGTCCCTGGAGTGGCAGGGAACCTGGGCTGGGCAGCAGGGTCCGGGTTGCTTGGGGCAGGTCTTTTAGAGGCGCGGTGACTGCTCAGCTCTGTTTGCTGTCTCCCCCTGTATGCCATCTGAATTCCCCAGCGGGGCTGTGCCTTGAGGTCCGGTTTGGGCCCCTGGTGCCTGATGCTGCAGGCAGGCAAAACGCCAATTCTCTGGGGTGGGAGCTGGCTTAATAATGGGGCCCTGGGTCAGGTCCTGCAGCGTAGCGTCACTTCGTGTGACCTAAAAGGACTAGTAGCCCGAACCCTGTCAATCCCCAGCACTCCCTTCCTGGCCATCTCCTGTTCTGGGTGACCTCCTCGGAGGGAAGTTAGGCAATGTGTAATCTGGTCATCGTGTAGCTGACACAAATTTTGTCTGATACGTGATTAACCGCTGTGGCTCCACATTGAAAGGCGCTTGGGAGCTGGCGGGCTCTCAGGTTGGCTCAGATCCGGCTCATGCCATGTCCAGCAGCTCCCCCCGCTGCGACTCTGCTTTTAAAGTAAATCCGCGAGCCAGGACAGAGCCAGCCCCCAAAACACTTGAAATACAGAGTCGCGAGGTGTGTGTGTGTGCGCGTATGTGTGTGTGTGTGTCTTTGCATGGAGCAGATGCTTATCGGTTAATCATTTAACCAACTACACTATTGCATCCCTACTCCCTAGACAGCCTTATGGGGAGGGGATTATTTCTGCTTCAGTGGTACGAAAAACTCCCCTTTCTTTAGAGCAGGCCCCAATCCTGTCAACCCCCAACACTCCCTTCCTGGCCAAGCTCCTCAGAGGGAAGTTAGGCAGCGTGTAATCATTGTGTAGCTGACACAAATTTTGTCTGATACGTGATTAACCGCTGTGGCTCCACATTGAAAGGCGCTTGGGAGCTGGCGGGCTCTCAGGTTGGCTCAGATCCGGCTCATGCCATGTCCAGCAGCTCCCCCCGCTGCGACTCTGCTTTTAAAGTAAATCCGCGAGCCAGGACAGAGCCAGCCCCCAAAACACTTGAAATACAGAGTCGCGAGGTGTGTGTGTGTGCGCGTATGTGTGTGTGTGTGTCTTTGCATGGAGCAGATGCTTATCGGTTAATCATTTAACCAACTACACTATTGCATCCCTACTCCCTAGACAGCCTTATGGGGAGGGGATTATTTCTGCTTCAGTGGTACGAAAAACTCCCCTTTCTTTAGAGCAGTGTTTCTTAAACTGTGTTCCGTGGCACACCGGTGTGCAGCGAGGCAGTCGGAGGTGTGCCGCGGAGAACAACAGAATTCAAAATGGCCACACTTAAAGGGGCAGGTGACCTTTTTTTTCTCAATAACTTCCCGCCAACCCTTTTTTTCCCTCAATAATTTTCCCTCCGAATTTTTTTTTTTTTTTGCTCAACAAAGTCCTTGGTGTTCTTTATAAAAAAAAAAATTATTGTTTGGTGTTCCTCGGTCTTAAAAAGTTTAAGAAACACTGCTTTAGAGGATTGGTTCTGGGCTCCCATGCATGGGATCTAACTGGCATTTCACTATAAAGCAGAGGCAGGGAACCTTAGGGGCTTACCTGGATCCAGCCCCTGAGGCTCAGGGCTCCCCTCCCAGCATTGGGAAGGCCACAGTGGACTCCAGCTTCAGTGCTGCCTCCCTCCAGGGCTGGAGCACAAAAAATCTACTAGCATGGTCCGCCCAGGCTCTGATGTGGGAGGGAAATGTGGGGAAGAGTCTTTCTCCTTCTCAGTTGAGGGCCACATCAGAGAGGGGTTTTTTTTGTTTGTTTTATGGGGTTTTTATTTTTTTGCTTCTCACTTGTGGGGGAACCTTAGGGGCTTACCTGGCTCCAGCCCCTGAGGCTCAGGGCTCCCCTCCCAGCATTGGGAAGGCCACAGTGGACTCCAGCTTCAGTGCTGCCTCCCTCCAGGGCTGGAGCACAAAAAATCTACTAGCATGGTCCGCCCAGGCTCTGATGTGGGAGGGAAATGTGGGGAAGAGTCTTTCTCCTTCTCAGTTGAGGGCCACATCAGAGAGGGGTTTTTTTTGTTTGTTTTATGGGGTTTTTATTTTTTTGCTTCTCACTTGTGGGCAGCTCCTGACTGATTTTTTTGTGGGTCAGCGGCATCTGACCCCAGCCCGGAGAGTCGAGGTGACTTTTCTCCCTGTCTCCGTCTGTCTTCCAGGTCATGCAGGCCCAGTTTGCTCAGGACAACAACCCCGACGCACAGACCCTTCAGAAACTGGCAGACATGACTGGACTGAGCAGGAGAGTCATTCAGGTAAGGGGCCTGAAATACAGAGGTGTGTGTGTGTGTGTGATTCAGGTAAGGGGCTTGAAATACAGAGCTGTGTGTGTGTGTGTGTGTGTGTGTGTGTGTGTGTGTGTGTGGGATGCTTTGCACAGTGGCATCTCCTGGCGGTTTTGCCACAGGGCGATTCCTTGGAATTACTAGGCTAAATCTTCACACCCTTCCTCCGCTGCCATCACAGAGTCGGTGCTAGGAACAGACACGCTGGGTTAGCTGGATCTAGCAAGGACCTGCTCCAAGGTGCAGGTGTTTGACTGCAGAGTCTGTTAATTATACAGGTGGAACCTCTCTAGTCCGGCACTTTCTGGTCTGGCAATATCCATAGTCCGGCACGATTTTAGTAACCCAGATGTCTGCTTATCGTGGGGGTGGCCAAGTTTCTCGCAGTTCCATAAAGTTTGTTTGCAGCCCCCAGTCCTGGCCCTCAGTGTTCTGAGTGTTGGTGATGCTGCTAACCAATATTGACCTCCCATGGTTCGGCAAATTCTCTAGTTTGGAACTGGCACCAGTCAGGTCCCGAGGGTGCCGAACTAGAGAGGTTCGACCTGTATCAACACTGCTCCTTTTTCCTTTTCCTGCTCTTTCCCCTGCTTTCCCTTCTTTTTTCTTTTCCAATGTGTATAATCAAAGACATTTAGCTGCGAGCCAATGTAAATACATGAAAGGGAAGGAAACGGCTTTGAACACCATCTCTAACCACTTTACCATGTCACTGAAAATCAGTCCAGACAACCGAGTGCCCTTCCCCAAGATCCCTTGCTCCCCTGTGTGAAGGAACTCCAGCTGTTCCATGCATTTTATTGACAGCCAGGAGCCGCCTACGGGGGTGCACTTTGGAAACCATTAAGAGTGAGGTTTTAAACACGTGAGGAAGTTCCTCAGCCAGGAGGAAAAGCCATAAGGAAATCACAGAAGCAATCCCAGGGAGGGTGCATGGTTCGTAGCGAGCAATAGGGCAGCGAAGGTAATACAACTAGAGATTCAGGTTGCAGGGTAGAGAAAAAGAGCTAGATTCTGTCTTTGGTTATGCCAAAGGCCTGGAGGGTGACCTTAAACAAGTCACTTTTCAGCTCTGTGCCTCAGTTTTCCCCCTCTGTAAAATGGGGATACTGGCACAAGCACTTTGAGACCTGTGGATAAAAAGCTCCATGTAACAGTTAAGTATTATAATTACCTATGCAAGCAGTAAATACAGTTCCTGTAGGAGTCTCATCCTGACCCTCCAGTCCCTCTTGTGCATTTATATTCTTGGCTTTGACGTTGCACTGGACATAGTTTTGCATGTCAGGCATAATCCTGTGTGAAACACTGTAGTTTTGCATGTAAGAAAAACCTGAAAGTCTAAATCAAACCTGCAGCCTCCATCTATGTTTGCCCTGCCAAAATTGACTAGGGCAAAATCCAGCTCAGACCTCAGTTAACAAGAGTCGTTAATAATCCCAAGACCAAGTGGACCATACCGCGGGCGATTCCACATGTGAATTTTTTTTTCTAAAAAAAAGGAGCTTTCATCAGGAAACAATTTGTCAGGCATAATCCTGTGTGAAACACTTCTGACTGTTTCCTTCTCTGGGATCCAGGGGTCCAGGTTCCTTTGGAACATGTGTCCTCTGACCTAGCTCTGGATTTTTGAAAAGATGGCTTCTCGCACGTACCTTATTCTAGCCATAAAAGCAGGATTCCTTATCCTGGCTACTGCCATAGGTTACTGGGTGTTCCTTTAATCCGAGCAATGAGGTACACACCCATTGGCTTCACTGAACAGGTCTGAACAGCCTGGATATACAGTATGGGGCAGTCTCCATGGCAGAATGAACCCAAGCATTGCCCCTAATCCCTTCACACATCCACATGCCCACAAACCTCTAACCCAAGTTGAGTGGGGCTGGCAACCCCAGCTAGCTAACCGTTCCTGGATAGAGACTATAGCAAATAGAATCCGGCCCACCAAGCCACCTAATCCAGCCTACCAGAGCCTCCACCAGGCTCTCTGACTGGCCTGCCCCTGCTCTGCTCTCTGAACACGGTGCACCCAGGGGCGGTGGGACGGAGAGACTCCGCACGCTGCCCCCGCCCTCAGCGAAATCTTGGTTTCCAGCCAATGTGAGCTGCACAGTACCCCTCTCCCCTCCCGGCTCGGAGTGTTCCGACTGAGCCCCCCCCATCCAAAATTAGTGCCCGCCCCGGGACTATAGCTCGACTGTGGCTTTCTGTCACCATGGTAACCCGCTCGCTTTGCAGTGAAGCACTCACCTGTTGATAGTCCTCCAACGCCTTCCCACAATTCTCCCTGTGTTCAGAAAGACAAGAAGACGGGTTCTGCCCTGACTCACTGGGGAGGATTCATAGAGCGGCTCTGCTCCCTGGAGCACAAAGGACCATGGGACATGCCCCCAGATGTTGTAGTAACACACACAGGTGAGTGCGGACCTGTGAGGACACTTAACTCAGGCAGCTTTAGGTTGAACATTAGGAAAAACATCCTGACTGTCGGGGCGTTTAAACACGGGAATAAATTGCCCAGGGAGGTTGTGGCATCTCCATCACTGGAGATATTGAAGAGCAGGTTAGACAGACACCTGTCAGGGATGGTCTAGATGTTGCTTGGTCCTGCCGTGAGGGACTGGCCTCAATGCCCTCTCAAGGGCCCTTCCAGTTCTAGTGTCTTATGATTCTAACTCAGGCTAACCCAGGGCTCGGGCGTGGGTGCGAATCACCCATGTTCACTCTGCAGCAAAGACAGACCCAATGTCCTGTCTCAGCATTCAAAACTGGGGGTAGACCCTTGGCAATGGAGAATGTCTTGACTGTACCAAATTCCTCCTGGACAGGAACACAGGAACATTACAATATTTCTCCCAAGTGCTTGGCTCTGAACACTCACTGACCAGTTAGTAACACTTGGCAAAGACTGGCCCATTTTTCAGACCAGAAAAGACCTTTATGACCCTCGATCCCAGTGATTCTCAACCAGGGTCTTCCAGGAGATACAGCAACTAAGCAAGATATTTGCCTCCTTTTACAACAGGCGTTAGCAAAGCCAGTTCAAATTAAAATTTCAGACAGTGATTGTTTAGACTACTCTATATAGGAGACACTGCAATGTAAGTACAATCTTTATATTCCAGTTGGGTTTATTTTAAAATCATGTGGTAAAAGGAGGATGCCCGGAATTTTTCAGTCATTTTTCAGTTATGGCTGTTTTTGGAAGCAAGTCATTTTTCAGAGACATGAAAGAGCTATGGATAGATTTTCCGGGCCCCTGGAGAGAGGGCCTGGCTCTGTGACCATGGAAGGGGCGGGGCCTCAGGTATATGGGGCGGGGCTGAGGTTAGCCCCCCCCCCCCAGCCCTTCAGGGACACTCAGCGTACGTTGCCTGGGGCTTTAAGCCACCAGGCCCTGGGGTAGCTGCCTCCTTAGTCCCCCATGGCTGACAGCTCTGTACGTGACAGATCGGATTCCTGAAAGAGGTCCAGTAGCCTGGAAAGGTTGAGAGCCACGGAGCTAGCTTGACCGTCTGTCTAACACAAGCCATAGAACGTCACCCTGTGGTTCCAGCATCAAGGGTACGTCTAGACGACAGGCTTTTGTCGACAGAAGCTTTGTTGACAGATTCTGTCGACAAAGCTTCTGCCGACAAAGAGCGTCTAGACGACATTGAGTTCTGTCGACAAAGCAAGCTGCTTTGTTGACATGATAGTATAGACGCAAAGGACAGTTTACATGCAATAACACCTTCTGTCGATGGAAACTCTGTCGACAGTAGGCGTTATGCCTCGTAAAATGAGGTTTACCAGCGTCGACAAAACTGCTGAGTTCTGTCGACGTTATGTCGACAGAACTCAGCGGTAGTGTGGACGCAGGTATAGTTTTGTCGACAAAAGTCCACTTTTGTCGACAAAACTCAGTAGTCTAGACACAGCCTTTGTGGAAATTCAAGCGGCCAGTGTAGACAGCTGGCAAGTTTTTCCAGAAAAGCGGCTGATTTTCCGGAAAAACTGGCCAGTCTA